ACCAGGGGCGCCTGTCCCAGGGCGGCTGGGAAGTTCATACCTTGGCGTGCCACCGTGGGGGTATGAACTTTCCAGCCGCCCTGGGACAGGCGTCCCCGATGGCGTACAAGTTTATTTCATACCATCCTTCGCCCGTTGAGCTGGTTCCTGACACTGCGGGGATCGTTCAACCTTGAACGACGGGCCGTTTCCGAAATGTCAGACCGGCCAACACCGATCGATTCTGGGTCGCTGGCGGCGCCCAACGCTGAACGCCGGCGGCGGGGTTGCCGCAGGTCGACACGACGCAAACCTGCTGCCGTAGGCGACCCCATCACCACCATCAGCGCGAGGCACCAGGGAGGGTTTTCCTGGTGGTGTGGTCCCCCCTCTCGCTCGAGGCATCCCTACCCCCAGCTCGGGGAGGCATTGTAGATCTCCCCACTGGATGTGGCAAACAATGCAAATTGCTTTGCTCTTACGTGTTTCAATGATGTTTGCGTTCTCGCCTTGTGGGGCCCCATAGGCCCTCAAGATCGACCCTGTCTGAGAGGCACCCAAGAAAGCCCGCAAAACGGCCGCGCCCACAGACCCAGACCCCCGACGTCATGATTTGTTCAGAACGTCGACTCCCGGGTCCCGGAGTCGAGAGGCCCCCAAGAGGCCCAGGCGGGGGCCACAAGAGATGCCCAAGAGCGCCCCGCAGAGGCCCTTGCTCCGGGGAAGCCTCCAGCATGCCACAAGACAACCTCAACAGGTCTCCTTTTCCTCCTCCTTCTCCTCCTGCTCCTCCTGCTCCTCCTCCTCATCCTCCTCCTCCTTGTCCTTCTCCTTCTGTTTCTGCTTCTCAGTATCTTTCCTTTTCTACGTCTACTTCCCATTCATCTCCTCCACCTTTCTCTTTCCCTTCCAGGTGTTACCCCAAGGGGTTCCACAACGGTTGGGGAAACAAATCGTCCAGTAGCTTGGTCAGACTTTGGCCCAACGTTTGGACGCATGGGCGATTCCGAAAGGTTGGGGGCGGCGGTGGTCTGCCGTAGGCGTCTTCGATAAAGGTGAACTCCAGCGCGCTTCGCGCGCGCCTTCTACGCGGTATGGGTTCCAGCGACAACCCAATTAAACCCACCCGCCTGGCAAACGGTGCGGGGAGGGGTTGTCTGGCGCCGACCCGCGAGATCCGCGCAAGCAAGCAGTCCGATGGAATCAATGCTCGGCCCAGAGTTAGGCACAGCTGGGCTTAATATTAGGTCGGGCGTGTCCCCATACAGGCGGATTTTGGACGAAAAATACAAATACCCCCAGAATGCTTAAAACATATTCAGAAATTGTCAACAAATCGTCCCATACTATTTTTCCCAACCATGCAATGGTGTTGGGTCCTCGTTTGAAGAGACGGTCCCCGCGTTCCTCCCTCCTGCCTTCCTCCCCCTCCTCCCCCTCCTCCCTGCGTTTCACCTACCCATTACAACGCTTCGTGGCCCCATAGGGAGCTCCACAGAAGCACCCAGTGGGACCGTCCGCATGCGTCCCGAAACACACAAATGGCATTTTCACCCTCCCAGTACAGCGTGTCGTGGCCCCATAGGGGGCTCCACCGGAGCCCCCAGTGGGACCGTCCGCATGCGTCCCGAAACACCCCATTTGGCATTTTCACCCACCCAATACAACGGTTCGTGGCCCCATAGGGAGCTCCACCGAAGCTCCCAGTGGGACCGTCCGCATGCGCCCCGAAACACCAAATTTGGCATTTTCATCTACCTAGTACAGAAGCCCCCAGTGGGACCGTCCGCATGCGTCCCGAAACACCCCATTTGGCATTTTCACCCACCCAGTACAGCGCTTCGTGGCCCCATAGGGAGCTCCACCGAAGCCCCCAGTGGGACCGTCCGCACGCCTCCCGAAACACCCAGTGTGGCATTTTCACCAGCCCCATAGAGGGCTCCACCGAAGGCCCCAGTGCCACTGTCCGCATGCGTCCCGAAACACCCCGTGTGGCTTTTTCACCCACCCAGTACAGGGCTTCGTGGCCCCATAGGGAGCTCCACCGAAGCCCCCAGTGGGAAACCCACGACGGCGCCCCCGCGGACCACCGAAGCCGTGCGCCTGCGTCGTGCCAGCCAGGTGCTCTGCGGCACAGCCGTGCTCCGAGCGCTTCGGCCCCGTGCGCACCGTGCCGTCTGCTCTGCGTGCGTTTCGGCACCGGCCCGGCCCATTCGCAGGGGAGCGAAGCATGGCATTCAGCATAAAAACCTCGGAGGCCCGCGCGGATGTCTTGGATCCGCGCTGGACCCCCCTCCCTGGCGCGCGGAGCGCGCCAGACGGCCGCGACGCCCTCTCGCGAACCGAGAACGGCCAATTCACTAATCGACGTGTCAGGGTAGGAGGTCTATCCACCTCCGAATGTTTTGCCTCTTCTTGAATATTCTTGGCGGCGACGATAGGGGCGAATAGCCCAGGGGCGGGCATTACATGTATTCGCCCGGAAGCCTTTTCGAAGACATAGATCATCGCCGCACCTGAA